AAAATAAATATATCAAATAAAATAATGATAAACATGATAATAAATAAAATAAAGAAAATGAATATCATAACGATAACTGTGATAGTAATGAGATTAGTGAAAATGATGATCACGATTTTCCTAGTAATCATTGGTGACATTAATTGACGCAGTCATCTAGTGACGCAAACGGATAATCACTAACACCGTCAATTTGAACTTGGACATTATGAGACTCATCAATAGTAATCTTTTATTCACAACTTATAATATTAATTAAAACGTCATTACAGGCCATCTTCTATTTCCTTGTATAATTAAATTTCTATTTGGATTATTTCCATCATAATTAGAGATGATGATTAATGCCTTGACTTTAATAAAGGCATAAATCATTCATTTTTAAACTTTGATAGATAATGAAGAGAAAAATGTACCAGGTATGTTTTACGGAATACATTGATATTAGCGATGAATTTATATGAGGGAGATGATTGTGAGTAAGATGATGGTCAGCACTTCACGATTAAATATAATCACTTGCCATTGGACGTCATGTAAAATCATGCTCAGATTCTTGATATACTATGCCTAAATAATTAAGTAGGTAAAATTTCCTAATCTATAAAGACGTAAAAAAAATTGAGGTTTACAATGACAAAGGGTCAACGCATTACAAAATAAAACTTTATAATAAAATTAACTTTTTAAAGATGTTTACAAGTCAAAAAAAAATACTGTTGATGACAATCAAAAAAATTACCAGCACACTATTATCATCAATAGATTTTTTATTATCATTTATGGCATTTCTCATTCATATATATTAGCACCAGGAGTAATATGGGGGACGGTCAATAGAAAAAGGGAAAATCTACAAATTTTAAGTAATTTTAGTTATTAAGCTAGTTTTTTTCACATGACTATTATCAGCAGCGTGAACCAATAAAAAAATTTTTGACTAAAAGGTGGATTTTTCCTTTTTCTACTGACCGCCTCCCATATATAAAGGTTATAATTTTTGGAATAGGGGATACCTAAAGTACTATCCATATAACCTTGATAAGATCTAACAAATCCTGCATTAGAATTTGCTACTTTACCAATTGTAAATACTCCACTACTTTGAGTGAACCCATTCCAAAGACTATGTCGAATGATTTTTGCTGTATCGATATATATACCATCAAATTCGAATTTTAGGACCAAACCAACTGACTCATTCGTTCAATTCAGAGACCTCGACAGATTTCTGTGTTAAGATCTATTCAAATAAAGTTGAAAAAATTTTTTTATTTAGCTTTAGTTTTTTTTTTAAAAAAAAATATATACAGGGCAATGGCAACTTACCACCTAGGCTAATCTCCAGGATCATTAATGTCACCATAAATGTAATAATCTTCAATTTTATTAATGGATTATATATTTTAACATATTATTTAAAAGCTTATTTTCTAAGACCGTACTATCCCTAACTACTAGTGACATAACCTGGCGACGAGCATTATAGAATTCTACAATAGATTTAAATGTAATCTTCATAATACCATGTTTTTTCTAAATTAGAAAATTTTGATGAGCCCAAGTAGTTATAGTGAACTATGACAAAGAAGTCACATCCCGTCTTCTTGATGTCTATATGTAGAACATCAACAAGATGTACAAATTTTTTTTCATTTAGGTAATTCTCAAAAGCGGATTTATTCAAGCCGATAAGAATTAAAGACGAAGACCAAAGAAAAACAGTAAATAAAATAACTTACGTAATATATTGCAGCCTAAAAATTTTGATGAAAGATAACTCCAAGAGGTGCTATGAGCATCATCCTAACATTATTAGCTGCAATTACGTTTAATACATTGAAACCGCTACCCTCAATATCTGGTTTGTACTAAAAGAAAAATAAAAAAAGAATTAAATAAATAAAAAATCAAATTATGAAAAAATAAATATATATCGTCTTTGCCTTGGCGTCTAAATAAATAAAAAATATCGAAAGTTAATAAGGTTTGGTCACCAATACATCTTTATTTTGGCCTGCCAATATAATCATTTATCGTGAAAAAATTGAAGTTTATAAATTTTTTAGAACGGTTTCATACTGGAATACTCTAAAATATAATTTTTAAAAAAAAAATTTTTTTTTTTTTTTTTATTTTTTTTGGGATTAGCTTTACTCAAACCCAGTATTCGAGATTAGAATTGTCAAGTGCTTTATACCGCTATGCTATAGCAATTTTTAATTTAAATTTAATATAAATTTCAGATTTTACAAATTTATCATGTGATATTGATCACCTGATTAATTTAAATAATCGCATTATATTAATATCATTACACAATAAAATTAATAATTAAAAGTTTAAAGTTTACACATCATTTTTTTTATTATAAAAAGCAAACACTATAAGGTCTTGCATTCTTTTCCTCCCTTCTCTTATTAAGTATAGAAAATATATTAAGCATAAGAATATTTTTTTCTCATGTCCCTTATGATAAATTTATTTTTATTTATCTGTGTAACAAAAATTTATTAAGAACTCCACATACTTTTCATGCGTAAGTAAAATTTAATAAATTAACTATATACAGAAAATAGTTCTTCCAAAAAATATGTCAAATGAATATCTAAAAAAATATTATTACTCTAGAAAATACTAAACTGCTATTCACCGCTTAATAACAAGCAACACTAAATGTATAAATTAATTATCTAATATAATAAATAAATCGACTTTACATAGAAAAAAATCATTTTTTTTCTAAAGATTTCAAAAATACCTAAGCGAGAAAACAAAAGAATTACAACGCTAAAAGTCCAAATAGCTACTTATTTTTGTTAACAACAATAACAATACAAATTAGATATTAGAATCAGTTAAAGAAAATCTTAACTGATTTCAACTTCTTGCTTAATGATAATAATATTAATAACTAATAAGTAATAATAACACCACCAGCAACCTCTGGAGTGTGACCTTGTTGACTTAAATAGAATAAGCATATTAAGATGCAAAAAGAAGAATTGACAACCTACATTTAGAATAAAAGTAATAGAACAAATTCTCTTGAGCACAAGGAATTGAGTATACATTTTAAGGGTATTTTAAAAATTTGTATTACTATTATTTCTTTTATTCTTAAATTTTTTTTAGAAGAAAAAATAAGGAACTAAAGAAAAGAATTTTTTTAACCATTTCAATAATACTAATAACAACAGCAACCTTCGCCATATGAGCCTTTGCTAGCTTAAATAGATTATTGATGAGTTACATTTAGAGTGAAGACAACTAAAAATGTATTAGTATATTCTCTAACTACAAAAATTAAAATTCAAAACTTCAAGCATTTATATGTAATGCAATTCTTGAACGTTGAAAAGTGAAAAAAAATAACTATTATTATTAATATATATAATTTGTAATATTTAAATAAAGTGACTAAATTTCTGAAAATATAAATATTTTTGCTTCAAAATCCAAGAATCTGATACATCTAACCTAAAGAATATAATGTAGATTCAAATTCAAAAATTTAATACTTTATTATTTTACTCTTATAACAATATAAAATAAGTATATATAATTTAATGAAGAAAAAAATGTGTTTAATATAGCATTAAAAGGTATATCTATACTAATTTATATTTGTTTTCTCATTGAATTATCTAATAATTCAATGCAATAACAAATAAAATAAAAATTTCATTTCTTTTTGTAGAAATATATTTAATTAATCTTAGATTACATGAATATCTCATGCATATTTATAACTATTAGCATTATCTACTAATCTGATTATTCGTAAAATAGCTCAAATATTTATAGATACTTATTAAAAATTATAATACAACTAAGATTAATATTAGTTTAACTCAGGTAGTAATGTAGTTTTTAGTAACTATGTGATCATAAACATCAAAGATTAAGTTAAGATTTGTAGGTTAAAGTGCTGCTTGGTATTCATCCATATATTATATTAAAAACTCAAAAGTTAATTTTAATACCCATTTAATACAAGATATAGATAATGCAAAGGAAATTTTTTTGAATTTTTGGTCTCACTACAAGTTTTAATTAGACAATTCTTGATAGTTACAAATTTATTCTGATTAAAAATTATACTCAATTTTATACAATTATTGTACAAGTTTACCGACTTGCATCTTTATTATTATAATCTAGAAAAATAGTAAATTATTTGTACTTATATATATAATAATATATTTTTCTTATCTAAAATAGTTTAAAAATAATAACCCTTTTCCATTTTTGGTTATTTTTTATCTTAATAAGATTTTATTTCTATATTTTTTAAAATAAAATATAAAAAATGAAAAATTATTTAAGTTCAATACTGCAAATATTCTGAAATATAATAAGTAATATGTATTTAAGATAGTTTATTTTTATCTTTAAAGATTAAATTTCTTTCTTAATAATTTAATGTCATTTAATTAGTCAATTGTTAAGAATGCTAATCTGTTTTTGATTTATCTATGTGATACTATATAATGTCAATTTATTTAACTATCATAAGTTAAGCTAATATTAGTATATTAGAGTATAAATGTATTATGTAACATTTGCATTTAGACATTTAGACAAAATTTGCTTTCTTGTTCTTCTCTTCTTAAAAAAATAAGAATAGGTAGTAAAAAATTCTGTTTTTGAAACAAAATGATTCATAATTATTAATAATAGCAATTGCAACAATAGTAGTAACTTATAAAGATAAGAGAATTATGATAACAAGATCAAAAAGAAGTTTTATGAGAGAATAAATAGCTTTAAAGAGGTAAAAAATTAATTTTAATTTCTACATAAATGAAAAAATGAAATAATTTTTAGACATTTTTTTAATAATTGGTTCTTTGAATTTAGTTATTATTAAAGAATATAAGATAATCAAAAGATATTTAATTTATTTATACTTTATTATTATTAATATTTGTTATAAAATTTGAAAAAGACAATCTTATCTTAATATTTGTCTCTATACTTTCAAGCAGAATCTTAGCATTATGTCTAAATTTTAGACATCAGAGAAGATAAACTAAAATTTATGTTGATAAATAAATCATACAGTAGAGATAATTCCAAAAAAAGTTATTTGAAAAAATGCTTATTGATAAACTTTTTAAATAAAATGAAAGAGAAAATACATAAATGGTAACAATAATATATGTGAAAATTTATAAGCTAAACTATAAAAAGTAAAATGCTGAGAAAGAACCTATAATTACACTATAATAATAGTATGATGGATTTATAGAAAAGAAATAGAAGGTAAATATATTTAAATTTTGTTTACAAATACCTGTAAAAAAAATTTCACAATCTTATTTTACTTTATCTTATTTTTTGCAAAAATAATAGACACAAGATAAAGAAATTGCAACTGTAAAGATAGCAAATAAGTATAAAGCCATTTCAATTAGTGTTTACTGATAAGAGATGCTATGTACAAAAACTCATAAGATAAAGCTATAAAAGTAAAGTTGTCAACCTATAAAGGCAGTAAGTATTAAAGCGTTATAGTAATATATATAATAGAAATTTGATAGAAGATAATCACTACAGAATATAAGATTTTGCTATAATTATTAAGATGAAACTTAAAAGAGAATAAATAGTTAAATAGATAAGCTACATTTAAATTTAGTTTTATAAAATACAAATGAAGATTTATTTATATTTACAATAGTAACAGCAACAGGGGATTTATAACTCAATTTAAATGAAAGCTTGCAAACTTTTTTTATAATTACATTTATTTATTGAAAGATCATTTCACATGCAAAGTTGATTTATCATAAAGTAATAAAAATATTGAAGTTACCCTGCTAAAATAATCATTTAAATAGCATTCAGGATGATAAAAAATTTTGAGAATTAAATTCATTATAGAATGTATATAATGCTAAAGCTACACAATATTTAGTAATAATAGATAAAAGACTATAATTTCGTATTATGCTTATAATATATCTTTATTAAAAAAGGTTAACGATCAAACTTTGAGTTAAAAAAATATTAGTAAATAACACTAAAATTGGAAAGTTTAGATTATAATTCAATTATGCTTTCATCTTACGAATATACTTAGCTTTATAAGTAAAAGATATATTATACTGTATTGATCAACCCAATTGTAAAATCTTTTCAATACAAGGATCTCCTCTTAGGATGTATAATTATATAAAACGTAATTTTTATTGAAATAAAATTTTTAGATCAGTATCTATCTTATGAGATAATAGGTTATGACTTTAAAGAAAATTTCACATGGATATTATTTAAACTTCTGATTAGAACTTTTAAGATGGCAGAATAAGTGTTATTTCAGATTAACATGTTGATATAAAAAATTCTTACAACTATTCATTGAAGAATAAACATTCAAAAAAAAATAAGTGTAGAGTCATCTCTATTAGTGTCTATCAGTAAAGAGATGTTATATATAAGAATTCATAAGATAAGTTATAAGATATAAAGTTTACAGAAATACTTGAGCATGCTGATGTGATCAAAATAGTAAT